ACTAAATGGGACTGGAGAATTTTTCAGACTGGCAGAATATTTATGCGCTCACTGAGGTTATTTTTCAGAGTGAGCAGAAATGGACTCATTTATTCAGCTACCATGTGCCTACTGTTATGTCAGGAACTGCTAGGTGCAGCGTATTCTTGCTATTGTAGTATTTTGTTGAAGCAAGTTTTCTTTGTTTCATATTAATAGAGGTCATTCTTTTTTACTTTAGTTATCTAGCATTCAGCACACAAGAAGTCAGTAAATGTGTAGGACACATTTGGAAACTACATTATTATTGGTAAAATACAGTAAATATGGAATTTCTAATAAAGATGTAAGATTAATTTAGAAAGGTGATAGAATCCTGACAAGCACTTAGCTAAGTGGTGTAACCAAGGTGTGATTGTACTCTGGGATGTTTGGCTCTTTTGACCCAAACCCTTAGGAATATGTCCCCACTTGCCATTGTAGATATATGCCCTTGGGTATTATTCCCCCTTGGCTCCTCAGTGATATTTAAGTACCTAGCATCTGAGGTTGCTCTTCCGAAAAGCAATTTCGGACTTTCCCAATTACTCCTGCTCTATCTCTCCCAAAGTTGTCTTAAATCTTTGCACTCAAATGCAGGCACATTCTATTCTTGTTCTGGGTGATGTATGGGCAATACTGTTAAAAAGAAAACCTCTTTAGAGAGCCTAAAGAGATACGAGGTGTGCCCTCCCCTGTAATCGGAGTTAGATTTTTAATAGTCACCAATAAATATTAATGACAAGAAACTACTTTTGATAATACTCTTTAATAAACTTATTAAGAATTTTATTAGCCATAGCAACAACTTTGTCAGCTGGGAAGAATGCATTGTGAATCATTGTTTATTTAGTCTTCATGTCGGCATGTGGATTTTTTTGCAGTAACTCCTATCCGTCCTTGGGTCTCTGGCCCATAGGATGGAAACCAGTACTCTAGGGTCTGAAAATTAAGACACACTGCTCACACATCAGATATTTACAATGAATATTAAACACACACGAAAACGTTTATCAATAAGCCATATACATTAAGTGGGAAGATATACTAGATGCAGGTTATTAAAGTGCACTCTGAGATTTGGAAATGTGCTGTCATATACTTTAAGCAAGTAGCGTACTATATTGGAAGGGCACATTTGCCTTGTGGAGCTCATTATCTGGAGCAACATAGTTGGTCCTGGAAAGTTATCAGGAAGAAGGCCCACACCATCCCACTCTTTCGGGGGCTCTCTAGTTTCTTCCTGTGCATTTTTTCATTTTCTCTTTGCAGATTGGCAGGCAGTCTTGGGCTGTTTGTACGTGGGGCAGATATGTCTGCTCTAGGCCTAGCTTTTGGTTTCAAGAACCCCAAAGAGACTCTGTTACCTAATGGTCAATTATACCTAAAATTTAAAAACAAATTATGATGTTAGAAATCTAAACTAGTTTTATTTCAGGTTAATTTTCTCAAATCATTTCACCAAGTAACAGCTGAACAAAAGGCATTGTTTGATGATACTCTGTGTAAACGCATTGTGCTCACATTTTGTAACACTGTTAGAAAGTACGTTAAACCTTTAGCCTTCACAGACTGTCTAAAAGACATAAAAACAAACTTACCGTGTCTAGTGGCAGTATTGCTTTTTTTCACTTCTTATTGTAGTTTATATAACATACAGATTATGCACACAGAGCTATCAACATACAGATTATATCTCATTATAAATTCTTTGTTAGGGGTAATAAAAAAGTATTATTTGGGAGTCAGGAAAAACATTCTAAAATTTATTTTTAAAAAGCTGTGGTCAGGTTATACCATTTAAGGCTTAATCTTTTTTTTTCCAATCTTTTAGAAAATATTTTAGAAAGTGCCTCTCATGTTGCTGGTAGGAATGTACAGAGTGGTATACGGTCCTCTGGAAATTAGTTTGGCAGTTTCTTTAAAAGTCAGACATGCATTTAACATATGACCCAGCAGTCGTACTCCTGGGCATTTCTCCTAGAGGAATAATGCCCCGTACATGGTGTTCCCAAGGGCTTTGTGTATAGTAAGTAGCAGAAACAACTGTCGTGTCTTTCAGTGGGAGATGGTTAAGTAAACTGTGGAATAGCCCAATAATGAAACACCACTGATAAGAAGGAACAAACTATTGACACGTGCAACAGTTTGGATGGAGCTCAAAGATGTACTGAGTGAAAAAAGCTAGTTTCAAACATTTATATAATGTTCTTGAAATGACAAATTATAGAAATGGAGAGCAGGTTAGTTTTGCTGGAGTTAGGGCTGGGGGTGGGGCATAACTAAAGGGGTGGCACAAGGGAATCTCTTGGGGGTCAGGACAGTTCTGTATCCTGATCATGATAGCTACATGAGTCTTTACACATGATAAAATGCCAGGGATCTCTACACACAAACAAAAAGAAGGTAAAAACTGAAATTTGAATAAGTAGTTTAGTTAATGCTGTATCAGTGCCGATTTTCTAGTTTGGTAATTGTACTGTGCTTGTCCACTGATGGCTCTACCACATTGCATTTAGCCTTCACTCACTGAAGGACCTGTGTGTGGTTTCTGGTTTTTGGCCATTACAGAGAGAGCTGCTGTGAGCCCTCGTGTACAGGTTTTAGTATGAGTGTGTACGTCTTCATTTTTCTAGGCCAAATGCCCAGGAGTGCAACTGTTGGGTCATAGGGTTAGGGTATGTCATTAAGAAACCGCCAGACTTCCTAGCCTACCTGTGCCATTTTTCAATGCCGTCATCACTGAATGAGAGATCCAGTCTCCCCCAGTCTTTGTCGGCATTTGGTGTCGGTGGCATTTTTTTGTGGTATCCATTGTGATGGGTGTGTAGTGGTATCTCCTCATGCTTTAGTTTGCATTTCCCTAATGGCTAATGACGTTGAACGTTTTTCAAGTGCTTATTTTCTATCAGTATCTTACTTGCTGACTTGTCTGTTCAACTTTTGCCTATTTTGTAACTGCATTGTTTGTTTTCTTATTGTTGAGTTTGAGGTGTCCCTTTATATACTCTGAATACAGGTCCTCTGTCGAATGTGTGCTTTGTAAATCTATTCTCTCAGTCCGTGGCTTGTCTTTTCATTCTCTTACAGCATCTTGCAGCACACAAGTTTTTAATTTCCATGAAGTCCAAGTTATTGATATATGGATGGCGCATTTGGTGTCATGCATGTCTCAGAACTCTTTGCCTAATAGCTTTTGGTTTCAAGAACTCCAAAGAGACTCTGTTACCTAATGGTCAATTATACCTAAAATTTAAAAACAAATTATGATGTTAGAAATCTAAACTACAGTTTTATTTCAGGTTAATTTTCTCAAATCATTTCACCAAGTGACAGCTGAACAAAAGGCATTGTTTGTTGATACTCTGTGTAAACGCATTGTGCTCACATTTTGTAACACTGTTAGAAAGTACGTTAAACCTTTAGCCTTCACAACAGACTGTCTAAAAGACATAAAAACAAACTTACCGTGTCTAGTGGCAGTATTGCTTTTTTTCACTTCTTATTGTAATTTATATAACATACAGATTATGCACACAGAGCTATCAACATACAGATTATATCTCATTATAAATTCTTTGTTAGGGGTAATAAAAAAGTATTATTTGGGAGTCAGGAAAAACATTCTAAAATTTATTTTTAAAAAGCTGTGGTCAGGTTATACCATTTAAGGCTTAATCTTTTTTTTTCCAATCTTTTAGAAAATATTTTAGAAAGTGCCTCTCATGTTGCTGGTAGGAATGTACAGAGTGGTATACGGTCCTCTGGAAATTAGTTTGGCAGTTTCTTTAAAAGTCAGACATGCATTTAACATATGACCCAGCAGTCGTACTCCTGGGCATTTCTCCTAGAGGAATAATGCCCCGTACATGGTGTTCACAAGGGCTTTGTGTATAGTAAGTAGCAGAAACAACCGTCTGTCCTTCAGTGGGTGATGGTTAAGTAAACTGTGGAATAGCCCAATAATGAAACACCACTGATAAGAAGGAACAAACTATTGACACGTGCAACAGTTTGGATGGAGCTCAAAGATGTACTGAGTGAAAAAAGCTAGTTTCAAACATTTATATAATGTTCTTGAAATGACAAATTATAGAAATGGAGAGCAGGTTAGCTTTGCTGGAGTTAGGGCTGGGGGTGGGGCATAACTAAAGGAGTGGCACAAGGGAATCTCTTGGGGGTCAGGACAGTTCTGTATCCTGATCATGATAGCTACATGAGTCTTTACACATGATAAAATGCCAGGGATCTCTACACACAAACAAAAAGAAGGTAAAAACTGAAATTTGAATAAGTAGTTTAGTTAATGCTGTATCAGTGCCGATTTTCTAGTTTGGTAATTGTACTGTGATTGTCCACTGATGGCTCTACCACATTGCATTTAGCCTTCACTCACTGAAGGACCTGTGCGTGGTTTCTGGTTTTTGGCCATTACAGAGAGAGCTGCTGTGAGCCCTCATGTACAGGTTTTAGTATGAGTGTGTACGTCTTCATTTTTCTAGGCCAAATGCCCAGGAGTGCAACTGTTGGGTCATAGGGTTAGTGTATGTCATTAAGAAACCGCCAGACTTCCTAGCCTACCTGTGCCATTTTTCAATGCCGTCATCACTGAATGAGAGATCCAGTCTCCCCCAGTCTTTGTCGGCATTTGGTGTCGGTGGCATTTTTTTGTGGTATCCATTGTGATGGGTGTGTAGTGGTATCTCCTCATGCTTTAGTTTGCATTTCCCTAATGGCTAATGACGTTGAACGTTTTTCAAGTGCTTATTTTCTATCAGTATCTTACTTGCTGACTTGTCTGTTCAACTTTTGCCTATTTTGTAACTGCATTGTTTGTTTTCTTATTGTTGAGTTTGAGGTGTCCCTTTATATATTCTGAATACAGATCCTCTGTCAAATGTGTGCTTTGTAAATCTATTCTCTCAGTCCGTGGCTTGTCTTTTCATTCTCTTACAGCGTCTTGCAGCACACAAGTTTTTAATTTCGATGAAGTCCAAGTTATTGATATATGGATGGCGCATTTGGTGTCATGCATGTCTCAGAACTCTTTGCCTAACCCTAGGTAAGGAAGGTGTTCTTTGTTTTCTTCTAAGTGTTTTATAATTTTATGTCTTATATTTAGATCTGTGATCCATTTTGGGTTAATTTTTGCCTAGGATATGAGGTTTAGGTCTTGGTTCTCTTATTTCTTTTCCTTTTGCATGTGGTCCTTGTATGATACTTGTATGTCCTTTGTCCAGCTGTTTCAAAACCATTTGTTGAAAATATTAATTACCCTTGCCCCATTGAATTATTTATTTATTTTACCTTTGTAAAGAATCAGTTGGCCACACACTGTAAACTGCATACCAAAGTGAAGATAAGAAATGAGTAAACAATTAAGTTTAAAAATTAATAGAGATTTATGGGGGTATGACATGGCTTGAGTCTTGAAAAAAGTGTGTATAGATTAAGAGGAAGTTGGAAAACGTTTTAGAGTGTAGCATGAGCAAAGATAGGCCCTAGAGAAAATAAGTAAGAATTGGCTGTTTTGGGGAGCCATGCAAGTGAAGGGGAGCAGGGAAGTAAAGGAAGGGCAGTTCATGAGTACAGGAGACTGCTGCTTAGACGGTGCGGGGCGTAATCAGTCTCCTTGGCTACTAGGAGGGTACTGTAGGTTCTTGAGCAGGAAAACGATACGGCGCAAATGATATTCAAGAGAAGTTGTTTTAAGGCCATGCATGGCAGCGATAAGTTGGTAGGAAGGGACAGGTGGTAACCATGGCCCTTAACTTGACTTACCGCTTTGTGTTACATGTGTTTTCCAGGAGGTTAAAAATGTGGTGTCACGTCAGACTGTTGAGTTCCTAGTACTTTCCAGAATACTGGTAGGTTTCAGACTTTGACAGTCTTCCAGATGGATACTGAGGACTCTGCTGGACTTCCAGCTGCCTTTGTATTAATGTTACTTTTAGTAAGTTGAACATGTGGGAAGCAGAGTGGTTTCTGTTGGCTCATTGTTGGTGTGGATGACGTTTCTTATCAGGTCTAAAAGGTGAGCAACTGAAATGATAAAAACGTAGTTGATAAGTTGGTCTAATGAGGAAAAACTAATGGAATCACTTTTATTTATCATGGCAGAGAGGAGACTCAGGGATTGTTTAATCAGTATGTCCTGATTCTTGTATGTGAAGAACTATGCAGAGAGTGATGACCAGCTTTCCTTCAAAACCACTGAGCACTGAATAAGGACAGATGGCTCTCGCTGCAGCATTTGGGTTTAATCTTAGGGAAGCGTTTCCAGGCAGTGAGGACGTTAGATACTTCAGGCCCGTGATCCCTAAGATCTTTAAGGGTGGAACGGGCACCTAGATGTAGTTTGGGAACATTAAAGTTGGGGATGTGACAGGTGGCAGCCCTCAAGTCCTAATTTATTGTGAACGAAGACACTTAGTTTCTGTTTTATTAGCGCCCACTTCACTTCTTGATTTCTTTTCCCGAACAAATTAGACTTTTTTTTTCTATTCATCTCTGGGACTCTCATTTAGTTTCTGCTTTCTTTTGTGCATTTAAACAATTATCTTAGATACAGATTAGACTTATGTCATTTAAAAAATAACCACTCAGGAAATAGAACTTCTTTAATGTCAGACAAACTACTAAATATCAATGCATTTCTACTTTTTGGTTTAGAACATAGAAAAGCATATTATTACATTTTTAAGAAGAATCAATGATGACTTGTTGAGCAAAGGATGTCACTGCATAGCATTACTGCGGCGTGTGTTAGTGGAGCATTGGCAGTGTGAGAAGCCCAGCGCAACTACTTATTTGTCTTCAAAGTGCTTTCCGTTTGATTTAATTTCCTTAGTCTGACTCTTTTCTACTAGTCTAGGTCTTTTTTCCTCGAAATATTGAGATTGACCAAGTATAAATCACTTGTGATTGCAGCCCTTCAGTATTATAGAGAATTTTTTTTCTGCTGAAGAGCAAGCTCTTACAGTGCTATGCAAGCTGCCCATTTAAAACTATCATTGCTTGGCACCTATGCCCTAGTGACAGTTTGACCAACATGTGAGCAGGCACCGTGCCATGCCGACAGATGGGCGTGAGTGTAGGCAGCCAAGAAACCATGTATCTGCATCTAGTGTATTTGTTAAGGGCAGGATTCCCAGTCGGGGATGTTCAAACGTCTGTCCATCCCGAGCTTTCACGCCTGTGGATAAAGGGATGCCATCGTTAATCTCAGCTTCTGACTGCGATTCTGTGGGTACATAAGAGCTTCTTGGCACTTACAGAAGTAGGCAACTGGGGACGATCAGGATAATTGTTCTCTCCTTCATTGCAGGACTACTTCAGATAATCCTTTCTCCTTTCTCTTAGCCAGCTAGGTTTGCAGTGAGCACAAACCTTTTCAAGCATTGTCCCGCTACTTCCAGAGTATGTGGTACTTCAATTGTTTCTAGCAGGTCATTAGATATGTGTGGTTTGGACAGTGATGTATATAATTGAACTCAGGTAGATCTGAGTTCAGATACTGACTGCTGTAGGACATTAGGGCAACCTAATTTTACCATCAAATCAAGGTAAAAATACCTATTGCATAGAGTGGTTGTGAGAATTAACTGAAATATGTACATTAGTCGTTCGGTGTAATGCCTGGCCCACAGTCCCTGTTCAGTAAATCCATCATCATCATCATCATCATCACTTTAACATCCCTGGAGATAGCTTCCTCTGGAGAGTGACTTGAAACAGTTCATTTTTATTTTTAAGCTCATTTCCCATCATTCTTTTTATTTTTTATTTTATTTATTTTTTTAATGGTGACATCAGTTAACGAAATCCAATAAGTTTCAGCTGTGCTGTCGTCATTCTTGAAAGTCACTGGATAGTATCATGTTGCCTGGTCTCTAATGGAAAACCTCCGATGACAGGGACCGCACTCCCCTGGAACAGGGTTCTTCAGCCATGGGACTAGTGATGTCTTGATGGATCAAGTTTTTTGCTGTGGAGGTTTGTTCTCTGAATTTTAGTGTGTTCAGCGTCACCCCTAGCCAGGGGACAGAATTGTCCCCCACGGACAACCACTGCTGTAGAGACAGCCTGTCCTGTTTTTAATGAAGTTTTGACTGTTGGCAAGTTCTTATTTTGAGCAGCAGTCTGCGTATTTCTTCTACCTGATTCTGTCTTTTGGAGACACACAGGACAAGCCGAAGCCCTGTTCCACACAACGTCCTTTCAGATACGTGAGGGCAGTCGTCGGTCTTCCCAGTTTTTTTGAGTTGAAGCGTCTCCATCCACTTCATTAGCTGTTCTTACAAGGCATGATTTCATGTCAGTTCACCGCGTTGGTGGCTTTCCTCTGATTTAATGCCATTTTAAAACTGTAGCGCTGGAATTGAATGCAGTACTCCAGGCCGCTGGCTTGATTAGTAAAAAATAGCCACATCTCTTGTTTTAGATACAGCACTTCTGTGAATAGAGGAAGGAATATTGCCTCCTGCATACTACATTCTTGTTATCAGCTGTAGCCCTTTGATGACCACATCATACACTCAACCTCGAGTTAAACCCCGTAGGTTTATCTGAGCCCTATCTTCTTCATTCTGTTGTTTCATGCATTCGTTTTGGGGTCCAACCATGAGAGCTTATGTTTATCCTGTGAAATTTCTTTTTATTGGGTTGAGCTAACTGCAGTCCTAAATCTTGGACAACTGTGGGGTTTCTAGCTTAAAAGAGCAAGTAGGTGATGATACCCTCAACTGAGATCGAAAATACAGGAGAAAGAGGGGTGGGGCGGTGTGTGTGTGTGTGTGTGTGTGTGTGTGTGTGTGTGTGTGTAAAGAAGATAGCGATTGAAAGGCTGGGGAATCCCAGTATTGGGATCCCAGTATTAAGAACGGGTGGGCAGAAAGGCGACAAAGGAGACCGAGAGGGGCGGGCAGGAGGTATGACGAGAATGAGAGGATTGTCTTGGAAGCTGCTGTGTCTGCGTTCAGTACTGTGGTAGGTACGTGAATATGGAATGAACAGGACCTGGTCTCTGCTTTCCGTTCCTGTTTGTGTTTCCCCAGGTTTAACCGTTTGGTCAATGGCGGTATTAGTCAATCATGCCTGAAAACTTGGAGTCATCCTATATTTCTCCTTTTTATCTTTACATCTGTTGGGTTACCAAGTTCTACTGGTGAATTTTTTTTTTTGTAGTATAACATAATATCCTGGAAAAAGTACACAAATCTTAAGTATCTAGTTCAATGATTTTTTTTTTTTTTTTTACAAAGTGATCACAGTATAATAACTACCACCCAGATCAAGACATCCACTATCCTAGCATTCCAGAAGCCTTGCTTGTGCCCCTTTCCAGTAATTACCCCCACCCAAAGTAACCACTTTTCTGACTTCTATAACTACAGAAGTTATAGAAGTTATAGACTTCTATAACTATAGCTTAGTTTTTTTGCCTGGTTTTGAACTGATATAAATGGAATTATAACCTATGTACTCCTTTTTACCAGGTTTCTTTTATATTACAGTGTGTCTGAAATTCATCTGTTTGTTCTATGTAGTTTGTTGTGGTTTTTTAAAATAGCTCTATACTTCTGATTATTCATTACTGCATAACACACCAGTCCAAACTTAGTGGAGTAAAACAACAACCATTTTATGCTCACGAGCCGAGCGGGTTATGAATGCAGTGGGGACAGTTGTCCCTGCTCTGTGGTGCTTGGAGCATTTGGCGGTCCCTCCACTCACGTGCATGGCTGGGATGTCTCGAAGACCAGGATCATCTGGGACCGTTGACTAGAGCACCTACATGTTTTTAAGAGGCTATTTCATTGTTCCAGTGGTGTATCGAAAGCGCAGTTTCAGTGGAGACAGACTTCCAGTTGAAACTTGCTTTGCTTCTTCTCAACTGTTGAGTCCCCGGTGGACTTTTTAGATAGTGTTCAGATATGGCTGCTGAAAAGGCTGTCATGGGCTTGGTGATTGTACATGACCAGAGGGAGGTTAATGGCAGTATCCAGAAGCAGAGGTCCCCTTGAGGAGGAGAAGAGGTTTAAGAAACGCCCAGTTAGCAGT